TCTCTCTCTCTCTCTCTCTCACTCTCTCTCACTCTCTCTCTCCCTCGCACGCACACTCTATCTCGCTTTCTCTTTACTTTTATTTCTTCATGCTTTTTGCCTGTGTTGAATTCGTCTGTGTCTCTCTGTCACACATATACACACACGTACACACATACACTCTCTCTTTCTCTCGCTCTTACTCTCTCTCCCTCTCGTCCCTTCCCTACATATGTATGTTTTCTTTGAAAACATTCATCCCCCGCCCCATTCCCTTGTAAAAGCCCCGAAATCGATTTTGGAACACATTCTCGCGGGGAAAAAGAAATATGGTCACTCAAGCGCACGCACCTCTTCGACGCACTCACGCAAATTGACGCAAGGGAATAAGAAAAAAGAAAAACATCATAGAGAAAAGAAGAAATACACAGGTGTCACAGACATCGAATAACGCGCACATGTACATACGCCAGCCACACGCGCGCAAATCGCGTCGATGCTCTCTCATGTCAGTCAGGCTTACTTGGTAGGTACGGTATCGTTACGTTCTACGTGCGTTATCAGTTAATTTATTTGGCCACTGAACATTTAAAATTTAGTTTCTGTTTTTTTTTTTCTTTTTCTTTTTAATCATTTTTTCCCTCTAAATCCTCATTTCGCCCGCCAGCTCGGCCGCTCTTTGCGCCGTTTCGCGCTCTCAGGTAAGATTAGTCCTCTTAAGCGGTAAACACCTGTCCCCCCTACGTTTTGCTTCTCTCTCATTCCATATTTCGTATTTAACCGTTTTACATTATTATCCTATTTTCTTTTTTAATTCTTTTTTTTTTTTTTTTAATCGCTTTTACTACTCTATTTTGTTTACCATCCGTTTGATGAGCGATCTACGATCCTTTCGTTCGTTCAGTCCATGGATACAACTCACGACTTTAATTTCGGATAAACAAACTTGCGTTACCCCCGTCTCGTCGCTGACGATTTCTTCCATTTCTTTCCTTTTTTTCTTTTTTTTTTTTTCTTTCATTCATTTTTCGTTACGCTCGTCTAGTTTCTCTTCCCCCGTTTCGTTTCTCGTTTCTTCTTTTCGCGTTTCCATTTATTTACCCTTCCACTGCGTCGTTTCCCTTGCGCGATTCTCGTTTTCGCACGTCCGCACGGAAATCGATGATCAGCGAGACAACGGTGCACATCGAAACGGAAG